CAGGGTGTGGCCGAGTTATCCGGAGTGCCGGATTATCGAGTGCCGAGTTTTCGAGACTCTACTCCACGCAAAGTACATTTACGAAACTCGTAAATCTGTGAAAACAGTTGTTAACAAACACCTGTTGTTACTGTCTGAAAACGTTGGAAAGCTCAGACTGAAAAATCAGATTTAAAATAATTTTTAAATTCGATTATATTTGTTTAAATATTATTTTAATTAGAGTAAAATTGAATTTACTAATTTTTTTAATTGATTTAAAATATTAGAAAAATTAACAAATTTAATATACGAAATTATAAATTTAAAATATTTCAAATTTCGTAATATCAAATATAAAATAAATCCTAATAAATTAGTAATTGTATAATTGCAAATATAAACTATTATATATCTAATATATAATCGAGACGAGTTGTAATGATAAAAATGATCATAATAATGAGCACAGAGCCCAAACAGTTAGGATGTGAAAGTTGAAATTTGGTACACAGTTAGGGTACGTCACGAGAACGCACACTAAGAAGGGATTTTTCGAAATTCTCCCCCGGGGGGAGAGAGACAGGATTAAGACTTAACACTTCCATCAACAATGGAAGTGTTAAGAGATAGCGACGTGTTATCTCTTAACACTTCGCAGATGACAGATTTTTCGTTTTTGGGAGAATCGAACATATTTTTAGACCTATTTAAAAATTCTCTAATCAGTTCGGGAAAAGAAGGACCCAATTCTTGCATTTTGTGAAAACGGGTATGGTTGACTATAACGTAATAATGTTAATCTTCCCTATCGTTACTTTTGCCCGAGTAACGCCGGTCCTACCAGCTAGTTAATTAATAAACATATACTGTAATGAAATTTTTTATGAAGAGATTTTATTTTCTAAACTGATTAGGAAATATTTAAAGTGTAAAACGTCATCATGCCGACCAACGTAGAGGTGACGATGTTATACAAAGCAATTAAGTTATTAACGACACGAAAAATATTTTTGCTGGAAAAAATTTGATAATGTGCACTTAAAAATTTATTAGTAATACTTTATTCTTATTAAAACTTGATTGCTTTATATTCACATCAGTTAAATTCGACACGTAACACAGGTAAGTACACTTATATTTATTACATATCTAAATTGAAAACAATCACTTTATTAATTAATTAGGGGAGACCGGGGCAAGATCGGCATGTTAAGCTTTACTTAAATTTTGTGTAATAAATACTGCTGTAAACTGAAAAAAAAGCTTCGCATATTGTCTATTGGAATGTTTTCTTACTATAGAACTGGTTAAAATCAGTTTGGAAATAAAAATAATTAAAATAATTACAACTTTACAAGAAGAGAGAAATTGACGAAGTTGCCCCGGGTATAGGGGCAAGATCGGCAACTTCTCTCTTTTTGTAAAGTTGTAATTATTTTAATTATTTTTATTAAAGTTGCCCCTGGTATAGGGGCAACAGTAATGG